GCCCAAAGTCTGCCCTCCTGGCTCCTCCTACTCCCGCCTCCTAGCTCCTCAGGTTCCATGTTAAAAAGTGACAGCACAGCCGCATTAAAGGGGCACTCTAGGGACAACCTGTATAAGGGGGCACTCTGATGAGGACAATTACTTATTAGTTGTCCTCATCAGAGTGCCCCCTTACATTAGTTGCTGCCATCAGAGTGCCCCCTTACATTAGTTGCTGCCATCAGAGTGCCCCCTTACATTAGTTGCTGCCATCAGAGTGCCCCCTTACATTAGTTGCTGCCATCAGAGTGCCCCCTTACATTAAATACAAAAAAAAGGGGGGGCACTCTTATTGGGACAGACAATGTACTCTGATGGAAGAGGACATCCAATGTAAGGGGGCACTCTGATGGATGAGGACAGCCAATGTACGGGGGCACTCTGATGGATGAGGACAGCCAATGTACGGGGGCACTCTGATGGATGAGGACAGCCAATGTACGGGGGCACTCTGATGGATGAGGACAGCCAATGTACGGGGGCACTCTGATGGATGGTAGAAAGACACCAAACATGTCAAGCCTTAAAATTGCGCGCACGCGTGAAACCTCAAAAAACTAGAATACCCAAAATTGGCCATAGTCGACGCTTTAAAAGCTTTTACCGCTCATCAGTTTAGACTTCAGTGTGATCAGTGATTGATGGCCCTAAAATTATTGCTCTCACTCCGACGTTCGCGGAGATATGTAACATGTGCTTCCCAGAAGAGTTGAAGCTGTTATAGCTGCAAAGGGCGGAGCCAACTCAATACTGAACCCTGCGGACTAAGACTGGGATGCCATTAAAGTTCATGTGCGTCTAAAGGCCGGCGTCCCAATACTTTTGGCAATAATAGACACACACTTACATTTAAAGCGGATTACTTACCTGTGTTGACTTGGAAAGAAACTTCCTCTTCTTTAATTGTCATTTCCTCCTCTTTAATCCTCGCATGTCCTTCCTCTAATCCCGGGAATACAGAGGACGGGCCTGAGGGATCTCCTGATGTTCCTGTGTGGAATCCCGGGAATACAGAGGACGGGTCTGAGGGATCTCCTGATGTTCCTGTGTGGAATCCCGGGAATACAGAGGACGGGTCTGAGGGATCTCCTGATGTTCCTGTGTGGAATCCCGGGAATACAGAGGACGGGTCTGAGGGATCTCCTGATGTTCCTGTGTGGAATCCCGGGAATACAGAGGACGGGTCTGAGGGATCTCCTGATGTTCTTGTGTGGAATCCCGGGAATACAGAGGACAGGTCTGAGGGATCTCCTGATGTTCTTGTGTGGAATCCCGGGAATACAGAGGACAGGTCTGAGCGATCTCCTGATGTTCCTGTGTGTAATCCCGGGAATACAGAGGACGGGGACATCTCTCTGGGGTGTTTCCGCACCTGGATCCATCTGTAGGAAACACACACACTGACTGAATACATTGTTTCTATGTCTTTATATCAGAGGATGTGTTCTCTCCTTTACAAGAAATGAAAGTCTCCTCTTACCCGGTGATGTGAGGGGCGGCCGGTTCTCCATCATGATGTCCTTTTAGAGATCCCTGTGTCCTTCTAAAGGTCTTAAAACAGAATAATACTTGGTCAGGGTGGACCCTTCATACTATATAGAGAAGGGGGTCCCAGCACTCTCTGTGGACCTCAACATATCATCTTCCGCACTTTTCCGCAGCGCACTGGATGGCGGAGACCTGAATTAAGTGTTCACTTTGTATAATTCCAATAAAGTTTTTTTTTTAAAGTAAACAGTGCAATGTGTTGAAACTGAGAATCACGTGGCCCTCTCAGCACCTGGCAATTACCCACCTCCTGCGTCTCTTGCTCTGTCCCCAGAGGAGCTCACCTTCTAATAATATACACATCAGAGGACTTGCAGGAAGAAGAGGATTTGTTCAGATGACATGATCCCTCCATCTAGTTCACAGACAGTGTTGGGACCCTCTTCTAAGAAGACATTATTACCTCCTCCTCACTTGACACACACTCTCCAGCCTGGCACACTGCAGGATTCTGGCGCCACTGGATCTCCTCCCCCTGCATTCCCAACAATAGTCTACAACAAAATGGCCGCTGCCGTCAGCACTGAGGACATTTCTTCACCTCACACGGCAGACGCTCGCCCTCTAGTGTCGGCTCTGATTACAAACAGTTGTCTGGAATAATTTCTGTTTGCTCGGATGTCTGGAGATTATATTCTATAAACACGTTTAATGTAGGAACTGTGAAGTAATATTACAGCAATAGAACATTATATAATATTATATGTAGCAGTCACAGAGAAGGTGAGAGGAAATGTCTGGTGAAGAGTTGGTAATGTACAGAATGCAGGGGTCAGGTGTGTGCAATTCATGAAGTGCATCCAAAGTGTGTAATAAATGGAGCGCAGGGGTCAGGAGTGTGTATCAAATGAAGTTCGGGGGTTAAGAGCATGTATTGCACAGCATACAGGGGTCTGGAATGTGTAACTCACAGAGTGCAGGGGCCAGGAGTATGTTTTGCATGGTGTGTACAAGTCAGGAGTATGTAGTGCAGGGGTCAGGAGTATGTAATTCACAGCATGCAGGGGTCAGGAGTATGGAGTGCAGTGGTCAGGAGTATGTTTTGCATGGTGTGTACAAGTCAGGAGTAGTGCAGGGGTCAGGAGTGAGTAGCATGCATGGTGCAGGGGTCAGGAGTATGTTACTCACAGACTCCATGGATCAGGGGTAAGTAACACACAGAGTGCAGGGATCAGGAATAAGTAATACAGAGTGCAGGGGTAAGTAACACAGAGTGCAGGGGTAAGTAACAGAGTGCAGGGGTCAGGAGTAAGTAGCTCACAGAGTGCATGGGTCAGGAGTAAGTAACACATACATTGCAGGGATCAGGAGTATGCAACTTACAGAGTGCAGGGTTTAGGAGTATATTACTCAGAGTGTATGGGTCAGGAGTATATTACTCACAGAGTGCAGGGGTCATGAGTATGTAGCTTACAGAGTGCAGGGGTCATGAGTATGTAACTCAGAGTGCAGGGGTCAGGAGTATGTAACTCACAGAGTGCAGGGGTCAGGAGTATGTAACTCACAGAGTGCAGGGGTCGGGTGTATGTAACTTACAGAGTGCAGGGGTCATGAGTATGTAGATTACAGAGTGCAGGGGTCATGAGTATGTAACATACACAGTGCAGGGGTCATGAGTATGTAACTCACAGCGTGCAGGGGTCCTGAGTATGTAACTCACAGAGTGCAGGGGTCATGAGTATGTAACTCACAGCGTGCAGGGGTCATGAGTATGTAACTCACAGCGTGCAGGGGTCATGAGTATGTAACTCACAGAGTGCAGGGGTCATGAGTATGTAACTCACAGAGTGCAGGGGTCATGAGTATGTAACTCACAGAGTGCAGGGGTCATGAGTATGTAACTCACAGAGTGCAGGGGTCATGAGTATGTAACTCACAGAGTGCAGGGGTCATGAGTATGTAACTCACAGAGTGCAGGGGTAAGTATCACACAGTAATTCATATAATCCGTATATTTACCCATCAGAGTCTCTCCTGGACTCGGAATTACTCCTCATCACGCTCCTGGTGATGTAGTCCATAGTACACTTTGCTGTGCCTGAGGGGGGATGAGGTAGATGGGAAGCGGGTACTATGGCTGAAGGGAACAAGGTGGCTGGGAGGATGGCTCCTGTGGAAAGTGTGACCTCTGACCTGGGATGTGGGCACGCAGAGTAGTCGGGCCCCTCGTTGTAGGTGTAACAAAGCCTCGTAGATGGTAGCAGTGCGCAGAGGCGGCCAGATGGGAGTCTTGCTACGCACAGAGGAGGTGCGTCCAGAGGATGCAGAGAGGGCTCAGCACAGGGTAGGAAGTTACTACCACCGGCTTCCAAGTGTTCGGCAGCAGAGTAGAAGCAATGCAAGTTCATCAGCTGTCACTGGCGCAGACTTTGGGGGGGGGGACTTTGTAGGCGCTACTGGCAATATAGCACTGCGGGACCGGAAACAAAGGCGCAGTGTTAGGTGTTCCTCTGTTTCTGTTCTCCCGTTGAAACCCTTTCAACCTCCTGCCCACACAAACCACTAAACTTAGGACACGAGTAGTTGATGTTCTTGCTGTTCTCACCGGCCGCGCTGCCTGCTCGGAGATAGTGACGAGTAGTCAATGTGTGGAGGAAGACCGCTAGCAGTTGACGGTGGATGTAGATGGAAAATTGACTTTGCTATTATCCAAACAATGACACATTATATATTCGGATTTCTTTATTCCACGGGTTCCAAAACAGTTCCGCTGTTTTGTAGATGAATAGGTTGGGTAATCATACCAAGATAACTCTGATAAATATACATTATAACAATTACAATATTAAGAAGAGCAATTACAGTATTAACAAGCCTTTGTTAGCTTCCATCCCTTACAGCCTCACCCAAGCCAAAATCTGTTTTTTGTTTTAAGTCTTGGAAAGATTGGGGAAGGGGTAGAACCTCTGTCAGGTTTTAAATGCAAGTTCCTGTCAAGATTTTCCCTCACTTCCTGTTCCATTTGACACCTGTTATCTAGGCAGGAAGTGGGGAGAAATCTCCCTCATGCATTAATCAATGTATTTATTATTGCTATTTCCCTGTACTGCCTGACACCGGTGAAATAAACAGGAAGCTCTCCCCCTGACCTCCACCATTACAAAATAGTGACATGGAGGTCAGAGGGGGGAACCAGTGAGAGCTGTAGGGGTCCGATTTGACGGACATTCCCAGAAGGTTCTGCCCACATGTGGTCACCAGCCAGATTTGCATTTCCTGTAGATGGAACGGAACTATGACTTTTGCCCCATGTGGGTCAGCTGATGTGAAATGAGAGTCCCTCTGTGAATAAAACTCTGACCACATTCTGAACATGAAAATGGTCGGAGTCGTTTGTGGACTTTTTCATGCCTAACCAGATCGATTTTCTGGGTAAACCGTCTCCTGCACTCAGCACATGAATACGGCTGGACACCTGTGTGGACTCTCTCGTGCCTAATCAGATTGGACCTTTGTGTAAACGCTTTCCCACACTCAGAACAGGAATACGGGCGATCGCCGGTGTGGATGATCTGATGTATAGCAAGATATGACCTATCGGTAAAACACTTCCCGCACACTGGGCAGGAAAAGGGTTTCACTCCGGTATGTGCTGCCTGATGTGAGATAAGGTACCGCCTCTCAGTAAAACTTTTCCCACAATCAGAGCATACGTATGGCTGGACGCCTGTGTGGCCTCGCTCGTGTTTAGTCAGGGATGATTTATGGGTAAAGTATCTCCCGCACTCGGCACACGAATACGGGCTTTCACCGGTGTGAACTCTCACGTGTTTGACAAGATACGATTTGTCGGTAAAACATTTTCCGCATTCCGAACATGAATACGGCTTTAACCCCGTGTGACCCGACTGGTGGGAAATAAGATATCGCTTCTCCGAAAAACATCTCCCGCATTCGGTGCAGGAAAACGGCTTCTCCCCCGTGTGGCACCTCTGGTGCCTAATAAGATGGTTTTTCTGAGAAAAACATTTCCCGCATTCGGGGCATGAGAACGGCTTGTCCCCAGAGTGAGTCCTCTGGTGTAAAATAAGATTCCCTCTCTGAGTATACGACTTCCCGCATTGCAAACAGGAAAAAGGCTTTTCGGACATGTGAGTCTTCTCGTGATGGATAAGATGCGATCTGTCACCAAAACGTTTCCCGCACTCCGAACAGGAATACGGCTTCTCTCCCGTGTGCACGCGCTGATGCGTGATCAGCGCTGTCTTCCGGGAGAAACATTTTCCGCATTCGGAGCATGAAAATGGCTTCAGTCCGGTGTGAGTTCTCCGGTGCGTAAGCACCGCTGATTTTTGCGTAAAACATTTCCCACATTCAGGGCATGAAAATGGTTTCTCTCCGGTGTGAGTTCTCTCATGCAAAACCAGATGTGCAGACAACGAAAAACACTTGCCGCACTCCGAGCAGGAATATGGCTTCTCTCCCGTGTGGACTCTCTCGTGTGTGAGAAGTGAAGACTTCTGTGTAAAACATTTCCCACAACTGGGACATGAATATGGCTTCTCCCCGGTGTGAGTCCTTTGGTGTTTAATAAGAACCTTCCTAGTGGAAAAACACTTCCCGCATTCAGGACAGGAATGCAGCTTCTCTGCTGCGTGGGTTCTCCGGTGCGCAGTGAGGCCTCCTAGCTCAGTAAAACCTTTCCCGCACTCTGAACAAAAGAAGGTTTCACCTTCTTCTCCTGCTGTATGATCGGTAATGGAAGGCAGCTGATCAGGAAGACCCTCCTTGTGTTTAGAGGGAATCGATGATGGATCTGGATTGTACACGACAAGGTTTTCTTCTGAAGAATCATTTGTGACGTCTTCATCTTCTATCACACCATCTGGAGAGAATGTGGAACCTTTCTCTGTGCTGCACCATCTGTATTGCCCATCTGCATGGAACAAGAAGTCAACAGGAACAAGAATGTTTAACATCTGATCTAAAATACACAGAGCATTTCCTTAAACTGTTGTGAGTGAAATGGAACAGGGAAAGCGGCTACTTGTCCCAGTGCTGTTCTAAAATGGCACCTGGTAGCGACAGTCGGGGTCCAACTCTAAGACCAGGACCTGAACGGATCCACCCCTGGGTTCCGATACTTCTACAGATCACACGTAGGCACGTGCTGTAGAAGAGCATGTGATCACAGGCTGCTGACATGCCCGGCTTTCCCGGCACAGCATTTCCCAACCTTCTATCAGCCATGGCACCCCCTAAAAAGTATATACAACCCCAAGGCACCCCAGTCACAAATGTACTCATGGGGCCTCCAAAATCCATAAAAGAACATTATCTGAGGTGGGGTCTGGAATGGGTTTTAAAGGGGGACCCAATGCGAAAAACAGAAAAAAGTGGGGTCCCCCAATTACATAAGGGTCCCCCCTTCACATTAGGAGTCCCCTTTCCATCACAGCTACCACTTTCACTTCAGAATTCCCCTTTACGGGCTCGTTCCCACCAGCCCGTGCGCTCATCATGCAGTCCCGTGCTCAGAACAGAAGGGATCGCATACACAAAGTCTTCTTGTGTTCTGAGGCAGTAGGGGGCGTGGCAGTGCCATTCATGTCAATGACACTGCAGACACGCCCCCCCACCGGCCGCACGGGACTGCGTGGTAAACAATGCCCTGCGCTCCAGTGCGGCAGTAGTGCATGCACAATTTTTTGCGATCGTACCGCACTGGAGCGCAGGGCATTGTTTTACTACATGGTCATGTGCGACCAATTTTGTGTATGTGATCCCTTGTGTTCCGGGTACGGGGCAGTGCGATGAGCGCATTGGGCTGGTGGAAACAAGTCCTACATCATGAGCCCCCCTCCTTTTATATCAGAATTTCCCATTTACACATCAGAGTTCCCCTCTTTCATCACAGGGCTCCCTTTCACATCAGAGTGCTCCCTTCATATCAGAGCTCCACAATCACATCAGAGTTCCCCCATTCACATCAAAGCCCCCGTTTTGCATCAGAGCTCCCCAATCACATCAGAGTCCACCCCCCATTCACATCAAAGCTCCCCAATCACATCAGAGTCCCCCCTATTTACATCAGAGTCCTCTCTTCATATCAGAGACCCCATTTCGCATCAGAGCTCCCCAATCACATCAAAGCTCCCCAATCACATCAGAGTCCCTCCATTCACATCAAAGCCCCTGTTTCGCATCAGAGGTCCCCAATCACAACAGAGCCCCCCCCCCACATTCAGATCGGATCCCCCGTTTCACATCAGAGCACCCCAATCACATCAGAGTCTCCCCATTCACATCAAAGCACACCCAATCACATCACAGTCCCCCCCATTCACATCAGAGCTCCCCAATCAAATCACATCAGAGTTCCCCATTCACAACAGAGTCCCCCTCCTTTCATATCAGAATCCTGCTCACTGACCGAGTTCCCTTCTTTCACATCAGAGCCCCCCCCCCACACACACTTCACATCAGGAGCACGCTGAGTGAAT